AAAAGCAGTTTCATTGCCTGTCTGACATCTTATCACCGCTGAACAATAAATAGGTGTGAATATTTTTAGGCATGTTGTCGAAACAAAGAATAGGATTAGGAACAATGCCATTTTGGAACAGCTGGTTTAAACAATGAAGACAGTCACGGTCTTGATGAATTGGGGGTGCGGTTAGTAATAGGTACTTTTCAAGTTTTCAATTTTTGTTAAGAACTCTTTAACCCCGAAGCCGGGAATTGGGGGTGCGGTTACTATTACGTATGCGGTTTATATTAGGACTTTAACGGTACTATTATATCCTCTTTATTAATTAATAACAAACGTAATCAGATGCAGCAATATATTACGGGTCACATCATCATAAAGATACTTAAAGGTAATCTTGTAATCAGGATCGGGTCCATTCGGCAAACAGCGAATAAATATGAAATAAATTAATACTCCCAACCCATCTTAATTCCCAGTCTGACATAAAAGAAGCGATCACTTTTAATTCACTGTCAATTTGTAATAGCTTATTAGTAATGTTTGGTGTTTTTTAAGCCTAATTTTAAAAGCCTAGTCTCACAGAAAATGAAAAAAAACAACATTAATGTTCCGCAATTCACTAGGGGCAATCCCTAAGATGGAGAGGTGCCCCTTTAAGTTTTACACGAACAGGCAGAAAAGAGCGGGAAGGTAAGGGCTACCGCTACAGGTGTTATCCAATTAAAGCGCTGTCATACACTATGAAGATATCAATCACCAAAAGATGCAAACAACAATATCTATTATATATTAACTAGCTTTTATTTTTTTTGGAAAATTGAATCACTCTAATTATCACCATCTAATAACTCAATATATACGTGCATTAAAAAAGACAATTGGAACTGATGATAATAAGTTAAAATTTAGTGATAAGGAAGAGGAAGTCGTTTACATCAATATATGAGGAAGGAATACTCAGACACAGTTTAGTGAACATCATTGTCAGATAGGGTCATGTGCAGACAGGTGTCAAGTAGAGTGCAAGCGATAATTAACATTAATCAATATGCAAATTAGCCGCGTTGTCAATGTTTCCATAGATATGGGCACAAACAATATTCCTGATAAATGAACATAACCTACAGTCTTAATTTACTAACTAGATAGCAATTAATTGCCAGTGTTTTTTTTTTAAAGATTTTGACAAGCAGAAGATGAAATTGACTGACAAGACAGGTACATCAATGTGCCTAATTTACATGTCGGGTGTCTCTCACCTGCTGTTGGATTTCAAGTTGCCTCCGCCTGAGTTTTTCACGTTCTAGCTGTAACTGTTGAAGCCGCTCTTTTTGCGGATGCTGCTGCTGTCGCGATAAAGGTCCCTGTTGCTGCGCTTGCAGTTGTTGCTGCTGTAATGCTTGCTGTATTTGTTGATTTCGGTTAAGTTGCGTTCCAGATAGTCCCACCGTTTGGCCGGCTGTCGCCCTCAGTCCTGAAAACAAAACGAACCAACTTTTTTAAGTTTACTGCAAGAAAGAGTTAATATAAATGAATGAATACAAATATAAGAAAGAGAAAGAATTGTCTTCTTGATCATTCATTGTCAGCAGCAGCTGTTTTAAATGCTTAGGAAAAAAATGTTAAAAAAGTTAAGTAATGTGCTATAAAGAAGATCATATGTAAGGCTGCAAATTTTATTTTAGTCATCTTAGAACCATGCAAACATAAAATTTTCTGTTAGGTGAACCACTTGGGCAGGGAATTTTATTTATGAAATAGTTTTTTTTTTTTTTTTTTTCGTAATAGAGGAACAATATGGCTGATAAATAGAGCAATGATGGATGATATAATTATATGCGATGAAGAATGCGAGAACAAAAAATAAAAATTGCGGTTAATGGAAAAAATGGTATGTGGCAGAAGAAACAATATTCATGTAATTAAGGATGGGATTATTTTTGTTGGGGAAACAAAATTTAAATCCAAAATAGTATATAGCAAAATGTGAAAGTGATAATTTTTTTGTTTTCCAGAAAGAAAAAAAAAAGTCAAAAAAAAAGTTTTTGCTAATGACTAGAGAACATAATGGAGAATAAGGGAGAGGGGAAATATGTATAACATGCTCTGCAACATAGAAAGAAAGCATTTTAATTTCTTTTAATTTAACGAAAACAATGATTCTGTCGATAAGTTAGTTCAAATATGCAAATAAATGATTATGTCATAGCTAGGGCTGACAGCACACACTTGTTTTTACATTTTTCCACAAAAAAAAAACATGGTATTACACAACACTTTGTAATTGTATGTAGAAAACTGCTACATCTACAAACATGACTACACACATTATTATAATTACTACTGTCACTACAGTTATAAAGTACATATTGCAGACAGATGGTTAGTTTAACGCAATCACCTTGACAAGTCAGCTACGAGTTATTTATTTGCGAATCGCAGAAACTATACAACTTCGCTTTCTCCTAGATTTGGTTTGTACCTGCGGTTAATCATTTCGTTTGGATTTTGGGTGGGTGTGCTGAGAGTGTGCACATAAAGCGACTAATAAATTATGTAAACAAAGAGATGAAGAAAAAAAAAAAAAGATAGGGATTTTTTTTTTAGCGAACGAACGTGGTAGAAATAAGCTCGGAAGAAGAATAGTTCATGCAGAAGGATGAATAGAGAGAATGAGCTAAGAGAAATTTTAAGAACTGGCGGTGGGATTATAGAAAATTACCCAATTCGCAAAAAGACCGATAAATCATATATTTACTGAGTAAAAAAATGCAACAATTTTCTCGCAACATACGTACGTAAGTCTGCTACTTGCCAAGATTGACCTACAATGAGCAACGCTTTTTTTTTCATCCCAAATTGCATCTACTGTGTCAAAATGTCAGAAAAAATAACATCCATATCATTAAAAGCTGGATTAACTCACAATAGGTCCATGCTTGCTTGTTCTTTTGTGATGAAACTGGTACTTAAGTTAAAAAAAATGCCAGCATAGGTCAATCCTGGTTTGTTCAAGTAGTAAAACTCACACAAGTATGCAACAGAAAGGCAAGACGCATTTTTTTTTACAAAGTAAACTAGGATAGGTTTGACTGCCCCTCCCCCTCTTGTCCCCCCATTTATAAATATATAGAAGGTACTAGTTTGGTTTGGATTTCCTTTCCTTACCAAGTCTAGGATCAAGCCAGCTTGTAGTTCTGTCTATGTGGTTAATGAAGTAAAGTTCACCTTCCGGAGTTGATGCTTGTTCCCAGGTTGCGGGTAGTGGTCCCAAATCTGGCTGTTGTTGCTGTTGTGGCTGCTGCTGCTGCTGTAATAATGCACGTGCTTGCTGCGCTTGCTGCAATTGAGCTAGCTGCGCCTGTGTCAGATTTTTCCTTGGGTCATTCCATGTTGTCGTCTGATCCATGTGACTGCAAGATTATCAGATAAAATTTGATATTTTTAATTCAATTCTCAAAAATGTGGAATTTGATGTTTTCATCTAACTATAAGCCATACTTGCACTTTTGGAAATACAGCTCTAGATGAACTCTTAGAGTGCAGAAAATTTGTGTAAATTTGTACACATTTTACGGAATTTTCACTGAATTTATTTTATTTTAAACCAAACAGAATAAATATGACATTGCTTTTAGTTTGTGATGAAAAAAATGAAAATTTTCATCAACAATTAATGTTGAAAAAAGCAGACTATAAACAATTTTGTGGATGGTGACTGAAGTTGATTTTGGCGCTCAAATGGTTAAAAAGCTAAAAATATTTGTTTCAGTGCATACTAAAATTCATAATTTTAAATTAATACATAATATTGAGGTTTATTGGAGTTTGATCATTGTAAACTTTAGGAATGAGAGACTGCTAACTGCAGACTAATTTTTTTTTTTACTTAACTTGATACTGCAGTAAATACATTGATTACATTTCTTTATCAAGAAGTGAAGTGTTTGGCTGTGACTTTAACTTTAACCCAACAAACAAGACTGGCACTCAAAACAAGGCCTTGGGGACTAGGGTACAATTTAATGAGGATGTTTTTTTTAAGCATAAAAATACAAAATTTGACCTTGATGGTTTAATTGACAAGCTAAATGGAGAAGACACCAGCGACATCACACAGTTGTCTGGGTTGTCCCAAACAAAATCACTAAGGATTTATCATAGACCTTCAATATACATGACCCCGCAAAGGTCACACATCCTGGTACTTCTGAGCATTTCTCAATTATTTTCCCAAGCTAGAGAAGCTAGAGAAGCTAGAAAGTGCTCCCATGTGAAGTGAAATGAATATATGGTGATATTTACTGAACAGGTCGGATGCAACTATTCCTGCTTCAGAATGTATGAGTTAAACAAGCTGAAAATTGCTAACTAATAATCAGATAGTTAACATACTTAAAGCAGTGTTCTCCACAATCCAAATTAGCTGGTGGGCGGCCTAATTAGCATAAATTTGCATATTAATTTGCATATCATTTACATACAGCATTCTCACATTTATGACATGAACTGCAATACACACTAAGTTATTTACTATTCTCTTTTTAATTTAATTTAATTGGAACATGTTACAATTTTTTGAAATACAAACAGATTGGTCACTATCAATATTTACGAAATGCAAAAAGTTTGAAATCGGTGATTTATGCGTTCGCAAATTATTCTGCGTTCATGAAATGCAATTCGAGTAACCAAGAGCAAATACAAAACATAATTGAGTTATAATGTAGAAAATATACGAGATGATTTGCCCACGAAGCCAAAACTGACAATTTGTCAAAACAAAATCCATAACATTTGTATTTGTGGCATCAGTACTCACCCGTGCCGACGGACGGTAAGATGCATTTACGCATGTACGGCCACGATACGTTGCGTTTTCACACATTGTTTTGGAA